TTTCCTAAATTTTCTTTGGAAACAGGTTCCCAGCGTAGTTCTGCCTGCGGCTATGTCTCTTGGAGGGCTGCACTGCCCTTTCTGTCTGGGAGGTACTTTCTAACGCTGCTGATTTATGAGACATCGTGATGAGTAACTAGCGCAAGCTTGGGCCGAAATACACAGCTAACGTGTCTGTTCCGTAGCATGACATCCTAAATCAAGTCCTTTGCCTCTGTGCAAGTGAAAGGCCCAACGTTGTCCTCCGTTGTGAGTTTCTGAATTTAGCCCACCTACCTCGCATGATAAATTCTGCGTTACTCGTTGTTACTTATTTACTTAATCTCCACTTTTTAAAGTGTAAAGCCACGACAAAATTGTCTGATGGATGAGGACAGTGTACAAGCCCAAGTCCGTGCAGTCCCTGGGAGCAGCAGCGGGGCCAGGGCCAGCACCAGCACCTGGCTGGCTTACGTACATACATGGCTCTGCTGCCTTGGAAGTGCCACGGTAACCATGGTTTTGGAGGAGGATACCGATTAGTGATAGCTGAGCAAGCCAAATCGGAGCCTGGTTTGTGTTGTCGTTTGATTCAGCTGCAGCAACGTGTGAGGAACTGTAAATTTGAGGTTGGTACCTGAGGGATGACTCTTACTCAAAATGAAAACAACTGGTGGTAAGGGCAGTTTAGTAAAGCCAAGTAATTATCTGATAAGCAAGGTCCTTATAGAACTGTATGAAGATTACATTGTCCCTTCTGATTTCTAAACCCTTGTCATAAATGCATTAAATGTGACAGATCTTACATTACTGTCATGATCCTAGAAAGTAGTCATTGCTCAGCTGTCTCACGGGATTTCATTCTGGATCTTACATAAACTTTGAAAAAACACCTAAATGCCCAATTTTCTAAGGTGCAAGATGTCTTAGGATATATAAGTAGCTATTAACAGCTGTCTGTAAAGGAAGTTAGGTGCCCAAAATAATTTACTAACAAGGCAAAAAAATCCTCATTAATTTTGATACTTGGCTATTTTGTTAGGTTGTTTTCCATTTCCTGATTGCTGTACTAATCCTAATGTATGACCATTTAAATTATTCTGGAATAACATTTACTGCATCTTCCCATGAGCATGCTTTTTTCCCTAATGCATCAAATAATCTCTAAAGTGTTTCAGTCTGCTAGCTGTAGAACACTGATAAAATAAAGTATTGGTGGTGATGGAGAGTGTCGAAGTTGGCTGGATGCACTGTGTTTGGTGCAAATGGTAAAGAATATGTTGAATTCTTGGGTATGTGCTCTGATTCAGCAGAGACTGGTGGTGGGAAGGGCCGAAATAATTATTTTCTCTCCTGTTGAACTGCAGCGAGGGTCAGATGCGTAACTATTACAGAGCTTTTAGAAATGCCAGGCTGTAATCTCCAGACATTGGGTCGTGAGGTGAGCAGACCACCAGAAGAAGGGATGGCGTTCACAGCCCAGGTAGAAGCCTGCTAGCGAGCCCTGTGCCACCAAAAGCTGTGAAAGGGTATCGCCTTGGCTGCTGTGGTAGCTGATCTCACGAGTTCAGAGGCCAGTCCTCTCATGATGTAGTGAAAAAGAAAAATCTCGCATTGCTGTTTGCCATGCTATAGCTATGGATGAAAAGAAAACTTGAGGTTTTAGGACTGTCAATAACTCCACTTTTATTAAGTTTCTATTGAAGGACTATTTTGAGTAAGAGAAATTGATGGGCTGAACACAATAACCTTCAGTATCTCACTTTCAAATACTTTGTAGGCAAGCACGGCTGAATAAGAGAAGAAATTAAGCTAAGATGTAGGAAAAAAAGGTTACTTGGCAACATCATACTGTTTGTAAAGAGGAGAAAGAAGGGTCAGGAATTTAATGAATTTTGATTATAGAATTTTCTGTAAGTCAGTCATTGCATGAATAGAAAAATCCTAAACCAGATTTTGGTGTCATACTCTAATAGAGATTGCCTAAAGCGAAATGGGGTTTGTTTGGAAACAAACTGTAGAGAATAGCAAAAGCATCGCCGCTGCATATGAGCAAAATTGGGTTCCCCAGAGGCAGGCAGTGCTGGCCACAGCTCAAGCAGAGATGAGCTGAACAAGGTATGTGGTACTGATGGAAGTTGGTGTTCATTTTTTGTGTTGTCTGGAGTAAACATACCTGGAAGTGTGGAAATGTTGATTTGGAGACCCTCTTGTTTACTGACATACTATTCAAAAAGTTGCGGCTTACTTCCAGTAATTGGGAGGAAGACATCAAATACAAAAGCACTATGGACTATAATTACAGTTCTGCCCAGCTTGCCAGTGTGATTTGAATGGGTAAATGAATTTTCCTCTATAATAATAACCTTATTAATTTCTGACCCTTGCAGAGAAGAAGAATCCATTGATTGTCAGAGTTCAGATTTTTGCAGTGGGTTTCTGTACTGGTGGTAACCAGTTGTATGGCTCAGTTAATCTCATCTGGTGCTTTGGGTGGAATAGGTGGTGCAATACCAAACCCAAAGAAAGTTATCTACCAAACTGGTCCTTCCCATCCAGTAAAATCTGCAGTAAAATTTCACTTCCCTGCAGTAAAATCTGTTTTTAAACCAAAGATCAAATTAAAGTAAACATCATCTTGTAGGGCCTGAATTTTTCAAATTAATTCAGTGGACCACGTCAAGGAAATGTGGTACATTTCTGGTAAATATAGTTTGATTGGAAATACTTAATTATGGTACCTAGGAAAATGCAGTCTAACAAATAATATCTCTCCCTCTCTGCCCCCTGTGCTAAAATTTTAGCTGTTAGTAAACAAATCTAAAAGACTCAGTAAAATCTTGTTAGTAAGTTGTCCTGGTTTCAGCTGGGAAATAGGTAATTTTCATTCTAGTGATTGCTGTGAAAGGAATGTCAATAATACCTGTTGTTTTTTAGTTGTTGCTAAGTGATGTTTACATTATTCAAGGACTTTTTTCAGCTTCCCGTAGAAGCATAGACAGAAGGATGGAATGGCCAATGGAATATTCCATACCATAGATGTTATGCTAAGTATATAAATGGGGGTTAGCTGGGGGACAGGATCACTGCTCCTGGATGGTGCCAGTTCACCGAGTGGTGAGAGTGACCCATGTCATTATTATTACTGTTGTTGCTATTTTTCCTTTTCTGTTATTGTTTCTGTTAAACTGTCTTTATCTTAAGCCATGAGCTTTTTCCTTCTGTTTTTTTTTTTCTTTTCTTTTTTTCTTCCCCTCTTTCTCCCCACCCTTCTGAGCGGGGGGCAGGAGAGGGGTGAGGAGTGAGTGGCTGCGTGGTTCTAGTTGCCGGCTGGGGTTAAACCATGACATAAGTGTGTTCACGTGGACATTTTTCCATTGGACACCAGCACATGTCCATATGGAGTTTGATTTCTTGAACCACTATGAAATCCCCGGTGTAGGGAGCTGAGTTGCTCCCTGGGGGACGCTTTTGGTCTTTCTCACCTATGTAGGGAGCTGAAGTCTTCACACAGTTCAGTCTATAGTAAAGACTTAATACTAATTTAGTGTCCTAAAAATAGTACAGTTCAGTAAATAAAGGTATGCTTCAAAAGTCTCTATTTTCTTAGGATTTGTGCTTTATTTTGTATTACTGATCATACATCTCGTGACAACTATGGGGATTTAAGAAAAACATTCACAGTGATGTGTGTTAGTTATTTGTTTTTCTTTTCATTCAGTGTGGAGAGCAAAACTAATAAAACCTGTTTAACTTACTTTTTACTTTTGGGCACCAATTTTTGAATGTCTGTTGTGCCAGTTTGTCCCAATAAGTCTTAGAATAGCATTATTCTTGGGTGCTTTAAAATGCTTAGGACTTAGTTTCACTTCTTTGGTGATTTGAGAAGTAAGTGGACTATTATTCTGACATAACTCCTAAATACCTCAAAATTTCTAGCTGAAGCTAAGCTGTAACCGTGATCAAAGTGGCACATCAATGGAATGGGTTGAAGTTTTGTGGAGTTGGGATGAGGTTTTCTGTGGTGTTAATCCAGCTGCTTTGCTATTCAAATGTTGAATTAAGTTGAGCAAATCAAATTCCGGTAACTACAGAGAAAGAATGGCTATTCCAAAGTAGGCAATAGGTTGCCTTTTGTATTATAAGTTATTCTGTTACAAATTAGAACTTCTAACTGCTAAGTATGCATAAAGCACTTCTCGTCCCTATTATTTTTCTCTACTCTGCTTAAATCTAAAAACAAAACAAAAAAACCCAACCACCTTAAAACCAAACTTCTGTGATGGGTCACATATAGTTGATAATTAACAAATTAACAAATGTGGCTTGCACATAACCAGTTGAACTAAATTTTTCACATCATTGGCTTTAGGAAAAAAAAGAAAGTTTTATCTGTGGTTGCTTAGTGCTCTACCTCATCAGTTCCTGACTTCATAGATTTTGGGAAGATGATCTCAGGATGTTCTATGAGAGTAAGAAGTTATGAGACTCAGTTCTGCAATTTCCAGTCTTCATCAAAGCACTCCTGAAAGGTACCTGATTGTGTGTAAACAATTTCTGCTGGAATCTGTAGGTGTGCCTATGCCCTTGAACGAAATCAGATGCTAAGCTGCTCAGCTCAAGTCTCACTGGTGCTGTCCCACCTGCGAGACCTGTTATTTAATGGCCTCTGTACCTGTTCATGTGTAGGGCAGATGATGGAAAAAATAGCTGAATTCAAAATCTCTCATTCATTTTTTCCAATGTTTAAATTAACTTTAGGATGAGGAACTGGGCATATCTTATGTATTTTTTTTCTATCTTCCTTCCTTACCAGGTAAGTATTTGAGAAGCACTGTGGTCCCTTCTGGATTTTTGGCAGTGTTGCATTACAGAGTCATTTCTTTCAGCACGGTGTGTGTAAATGGATGTGTGTGTGTGTGTGTGTGTGTGCATGCGCTTACGTAGAAATAGAACTGAAATAATAGATGTGAGGGTTTTAACCTTGTAACTGTTATGAGATCTTTATGTGTCTGCTTTAGGGTCGACCCTATCCCATATGACACTCCAAAACCAGCGGGCCACACGCGATTTGTCTGCGTCTCAGACACACACTCCAGAACAGATGGCATCCAGATGCCTTATGGGGACATCCTTCTCCACACGGGCGATTTCACCGAACTGGGACTGCCCTCAGAGGTTAAGAAGTTTAATGACTGGTTAGGTAAGGAATTACTGCGTTTTGGTGACCCCAATTAACCTCTCCTGTCCAAGTGTCAGTCATTGCCTCCTAATTGAATTAGAGCACTTGAAAATCCCCCCCTACCCTTGCTTCACTTGTCCTCATGTGATGTGCTGTTTCTAGCCTCAGTATGATTCTGTTAATTAAGACAAATTTAGAGACTTTGTCGTATTTCTGCGTTACCTTGGGGGAAAAGATGCTGTCGTTCCGCAGCAAGGGCTGTGTAGCCTTCTGTGTCCGTTGAGAAGGTGGTGGCACCTCACATGAACGCATACAGCATCCTATTAGTTGATGCTGTGGGGTTTTATGTCCACAGCCAAAACTGTTGCTCGCTGTATTTTGGGTTTGCTGTAATTTAAAGCAGTGCTGAGAGCTGCAGCATATTTGGAAATGATGAAAGTCCTTATTCCCACAATATAGGGTGGCATAATCAAAAATACTGTTTGGAAGAGGAGAAATTTTTGGGGGTGGTATTCACATGATTGCCCCTTTGAGTTAGAGTACTGACATTTTAACTTAGAACACGTGCACTCAACGCCTCTTCAGTAGAATGCCTTTCATACTCTGCTATATTTGATAGCAGTGCCTGGAGAGTGTGTTGCTACAGTTGAGGGCAATTAAATTGTGACAGCAGAAGACCGAAACAAAGGAGGGGAACTCACGCAGGATGCTCCTGTTATAAATACCACTGGTAGGCTGGCTGTCTGCTGCCATCTCACCACTTCCACTGGAAATATTCAGAGGTGGAGGTGACTCGGCAACTGATCTTTGAGAAATGTTACAATGAATTTACATCATTACGTAAAAACCTTTGAAACCATGGCTTTGTCACCATGCTTTACCTCCATCACTGCACTCTCTTGCTTGCTGGGTGATGGTCACACCTCTACGTGCCTTTAATAGCATAATTTTATTCCATTGGAGTTCCTTGGCTGACCCTTCAAGAGATAAGTGAAGAACATTTGGATTTATAAAAGGAATTTTTAAATAGAAGAGCTTCCGCATTCTCCATCTTTTCACCCTCCTATGCATTTTCTTCATACTTCTCTCTTTATCTTCCTTTTGACCTCCTCTGATTTCTACAGCTCAATTTTAAAGAACATTTTTCCTTTTTATTGCTGTGCATGTGGGATTGGGGCTTCCAGATACTGCCGTATTACTGTAATTTAGTTTTATAATTCTTACTTCTAGAAAGCAGTACTAGATTTTATGGGCTCAAAACTATCCTTTTTCTAGGATGTAATTGCAGGGCTGGGAAGTAAGAAGTGGTACGAGAAGTAAGTGGATATGTACATAGGTTGAGGGAAGAGACATAATAGGAATAATCTTCCTCAACTTTTGTGTGTTCTTTGTGATTACCTGTAAATGTTGCCATGGAGGAAGAGGAGGAGGAGGAGGAGCAAGCAAAATAAGAAGGGCAGTGGGAGGCTGCACAGCTTCCCTGGGAGCGGGTGGTGTGGTCCCACTGAGCTTCAGTCCTCGCAGAGAAGCTAGGCAGCACTGCTGTTCCACAGGGTTCAGTTGTTCCAGATGCCAGGCATCTCCAGGAAAGGAATTGCTTTCTGGAGAGCGTAGACCTCTAAAGTCTACCCTGAACACACTGCCAAAACCAGTGTCTGGTTGCCAAAGTTCCTCTTTGGACCTTGGGTCGTTCCACATGTATTGTTTTGGTACAGCTGGAGCTCGTGTCCAGTGCTTGGCATCTGAAAACACTAACTCAGTACTGCTGAAAGCCAAAACAAGTGAGCTGCTAGTGTGTTTTCAGCCTTTTCTAGAGAATCTTAAAGTATCAGCAGCCACTTGGCCATTCCTTGTATTTAACAGGTGTTTCATGGTGATGTTATTTTATCACATATATCCTTGGTTTAACATTTTCAACAGAAGAATTGTAACCCTTTGAATAGGTTTTGTTCCAGCCTCAGTATTTTATCATGGGGCTTTCTTAGCATATCTATAGAGTTCTTGTAGTCTGTATGGTATTCATGTGGGAAGGTAGATTTTGCATTCTTTGGCAGTCAGTGTTGTTGAAACTGGAAGCTTTGACTGTGAGGACCTACTGGCTTTGGCCTCAGGCTTTCATGTTTCAGGTACAGAGAAAACTTCTTTTGTTATTTCCTATTTTTTTTTTTTTCTTCCAGGCACAGAGTCCACTTGCATTTTCATATATATGACAATACCAGTTATTATGTTTCTGGCATAAGTTGAGGCAGCAAATTGATTCCTCTGTGGAATCTTGTCGCGTTGGTGAATAGTTGCCCCAGTGCTGTCCTCTCCTCATCTGGAATCAATACACCATGAAGTCAGGCATGTCCTTTTGCAACTTTATTTCAGGCTTCTGTTTGCAAAATGAGAGTAATCGCATTTTACTATTTATTATGTATATTTTGAAGATAATTACCGTCAAGGTTGTGAGCTGATGACATGTAATAGTATAAAAAATACATACTGGTGGCAGGCAGAAAGAAGCAGGATTCCTTTTTCTTCTGCCATATAGTGGGAGGCATCTTTTTTCACCATAGTTGGTAGGAACCGTATTCCAAAGCACTGAGAACTCCCACCAAATACAGCATTGTCCTTCTAGAAAGGGGTTTTCGTATCTTTTGTGTGCATGGTTTCTCCCCTGGCCATTGTGTTGTAAAGGAGTAGTGAAGAGAAGGCGTCTGCATCGTTTATACCTGGAGGGAGAGAAGCGAGGTCGCAGCTGGGCTTCATTCGACAGCGTATCCCACCTACCCTGTGGTAAAAGAACAGGGCCTCATCTCCACTAGAGCTGTAAAACGGGGTGACTAAGACACAATAACTGTCCATAACTTTCTTGGCAGTGGACCCAAGGGAAAAGTTAAAAGATGATAATTCTGAGCCCCTGCCTTGCTTGTACTTGAGTGTTATCGTAAGCCAGAGTTACACAGGACTGAGAGCGCCTCCGTCAGCCCTGCGACTTTGTCTTTTGTGGGTCTTGCATCCCTTTGCAACTCTTCGGGTATCTCACCTGAGCAATATGTTCAGCACCCTGTCCATCCATTTCGTTAACATTCATCCTTCTTCCTTGTCTCTGCAGCCAAATCACAGGACACGCTTTCCACACCCTCCTACCTGCAACTTTTACTGATTCTTACGCTTTTTTCCCTTTGGCTGATAAATTTTCATTATTGGTTTTGCATGAAAGTCGTCTGGGCTCATACGTTGAATAACCTCTGTGGTCACTTAGTGATTACATGCACTGGCTGAGGTAATTTATTCACTTTGTTTTGGTGTGAACATGTCCCTCGGGTCTTGTAACTGCTGTAATCACTTGACCTTGGTGACTGTTAAATGCTTTAAACACAGTTATTTTAAATTTATAATTGTTTTCATTAAAAATCTCTTATAGTAACTTAACTGACCTTGCAGTAAACACAGCATTATGTGCTGAGGAAGAAGTAAGACGTTACTCTATGCCCAATATGTTTCTTACCGAATGTTTCAAGATACTATTATTATCACTGTTCATATTTCCCCCATCCATTCTCATTGTCATATATGGGAAATGAAATACAGGAATATCTAATTATAGCTCTGTCTTCATAGTGCAATATTTCCTTTCCTGCGTGATGGGAAGTGATTGAATAACTCATAAGAACTGAAGAGAAAGCAAAGATAAATTCAGGCAGATAGATCTTTAATGAGTGACGCTATGTTTATTGTGCTCAATTAGTATGGGCCTGATTGAGCATATTCTTACTTGTGTGAATAATTTGCATCTGGTTTAGTCATTTTTCTCAAATAGCCGGTTTTGTTCTTTAGACTTTTTTTGTCTAATGGTTGTGTCTTATGGACTGACTGTGTTCTGTTGGGGAGGGCAGGGGGGTGGGGAGCGTTGGTATTTTGGTTTTTTTTCATGCAGTATTTCTAACATAAGGTTTATAACTCAACAAATCAGGGAAAATTCTACAGTGGTAGATATCGCCAGATCCAGTAGGTGAAATCACTGCTGGTTGACGTCTATGGAGCTGAGAATAGGTGTTTCCTGAGTTGTTCGGGGATATGGCAACTTGACTGTTTCATGTTTTTTCCTTCATGCCTTCCTTTTGTTTTGAATGCATATTTCTTTTAATTTCTGTGGGACAGTGACTTGAGGAAATGTGTGAATAGTGGCCAAATGTATATGGTTTAGTACTGGAACAAATTTTTCTTTACCTGTAATATATCCTTGCCTTTAGTATAAACATTGTGGATAGAGGTAAAAGAAAAATTCAGTTTTTTTTTCTGTGGTGTAGTTCTTCCATCATGTTACTTAAAGTGAGAAGAAAAGAATGATTGTACTGTTTTAATGTGGCAATTTTCTTGTTACACTCTGCATACATGAATGTGGCCCTCAAGCGTATTGTCGGTTCTTTGAAAGTTCATTTTTGTGTCAATGTTTAGTTATTGAAAATAGCTGCTTCAGCGTGGAATTGCTGGTTGTTATGTGGAATAGGCGACAACATGGGAAGAGCACTGGAAATGCGGTGTTGCTCTCAGAGGTATGGACAAACACTTGGTTCCAGTCTGCACTTAGATTTCTGCATTAGTACTGAAGAAACCGGAAATTATATTCAAAACTGTAAGCCAGACACCTGCCAAAATAGTGTTTGATCTCAAAGATAGTATAAAATTATCTGAAAAAAAAAAAAAAAGAACTGTCACAAAATAGTATAATAGTAAGATCAAGCTCTTTTCTTATCACTGTTTAAAAATTCAGGGTCACATTCCTCTCGTATCCTTTCTCAGTTACTTCCTCATTTTATCTAGGCTTTACCTCCTCTCCAGGCGTATTTCATTTAGGGTTTTGTGTGACTCTTGGTAATGCACAATGAAAACAACTTCGTTGTGAATGAAGTATTTGTTCTTGAGAACTTCTGCTCCTTAAAAGTATATTTCTGATGTGAATTATTTTAGCATCTGACATGACACTTTTTTATAAAAACAAACCAGTAAGCTCTAAATGTCTTTAAATTCAGAGG